CCAGAACTTGAATCTGTTATACTACTAATAGAAGTATTTGGAGACGTAGATGAACTGGGAGGGTTGTTATAACGTCTTTGTGGTTGACGTTGAATTTGAGTGGGAGTTGTATGTTGAGATTGTGGATAACGATTATTAATATTATTATTACCCATATAATTCTGTTGATTACTGGGAGAAATTGATGCTTGAGCTGACGGAGTATTCGATGGCAATGATGATGATGTCACTAGTGAATTATCTATTAAAGATTCGGGGTCTATTTCATTTGACTATAAAATAAAGTTGATGATTAGAATTGTGATATGAATAGCGATGGAAATATATTGATAAACATAATGATAAAAATGATGAAAAATAATGATGATAAAATAATGATGAAGAAAATACATACCGTTGTATCAACTTCAACAAAAGTACTTATATTTGTTGGATCATTAACTGACATCGTTGGTCTTTGAAATCCTACGTTATTAAGTCCGATAGTAGCCATACCTCCTATACTACTTAAACTACTCATATTATTCATATTACTATTCGTATCCATATGATATATTCCTTGACGCATCAATGTAGCTGATGATGAATTAGGGGTGGGAAGAGAAAGCATGTTACTATTATTATTGTTATTATTATGCGTGGAATGAGTTTGAGTTTGAGCGGCAGGAGTTGGAGATGTATGAAAAGCAGCTAAAGAAGTTAAAGGTGATTGTTGATTATGTGCACCTAGCAATCCCAAAATAATAATAATAATAATAATGATAATAAAATATAATCGATGACAAAATACAATTAATAAAAAAAAATAATAATAATATTTAACAATACAAAATAAATTAATAATAATAATAATAATAATAATTATTATTATTATTATTATTATTATTACAAGAATAAGGAATGTAATTTTAATATACATATATATTATATATATTATATATATATATGTATGTATAATAATAATCACATTAGTATTCACATAATAGTACTAATAATAATAATAATAATAATAATAATAATAATAATAATAATAATAATAATTTAATA